CTGGTAATTCATTCGGAAACACATCTGGAAATTCTCTAACAATAGGAATATTATTCAATTCAACATTCTCAGATTGTTCAGACAACACATAACACAAATAACCCTGGCACCCTTTCCTGATCAGTTTACATGCTTTCATTGCAGATATCAAATAAGGTGGAGGCACTACCTCATTACCCACAAACACAATCTCTTTCTGTTCTGGTGGGTTAAATACAACCCTTTTTGTCACATAGTCTATGGTGGCACAATACTTGGTCAACCAATCCATGCCCAAAATTACATCGAAATGTCTAAAGTTCAAGGGCAACAAATCTACATATAGGGTAGCATCCTCGATATGCATGTCACAAAACCGATATATATATATATAATCACATAACACAGATTCCCCGATGGAGCAGACACACATAACAAATATGGCAATAACTCTAGGGGTCTATTCAGTCTAGATGCAAATGTATATGTCACAAATGAGTGCATTGATCCAGAATCAATTAATACAAAGGCATCCTGATTACATAGAGAAATAGTACCTGAGACAACGGCATTGGCATTCCGTGTATCGCCTGGAACAAGTGCAAAAACTCTCCCCTGTCTCACTGTATCCCCAATAGTAGCAGATTTCAAAGTGTTTCCTGGCTTCAGGATCTATGCAGTGGAACTAGCTGCTAGTTTCCCACTGTTTTGATTACATTCTCGGGCTATGTACCCTTGCTTCCCACATTTGAAACAGGCTCCTGATGCACGGTAACAGACTCCACGGTGCCTTTTGCTATAGATATTGCACATGGGAGCTGTGTCTCAGGAAGAATTTGAAGTAGTTGAGGAGCCCGTGTTTTGCTTTTTCGGAAATTTCTTCTTCGAAAAGAAGCCTTGCCTTTTGTTACCTTTCCATTCTGTTACTAGCTTAGCTTGTCTAGCTATGTTAGCCTCTAATATGATGGCCCTGTCTAGCACCCCAATGTAGGTCTCCAGCTTTAGGACATTCACCCTCTCTAGGATGTCACTGCGGAGTCCACCTTCAAAATGTGTTGCCTTTTTATAGTCTGTGTCAATTACATGTGGTGCAAACCTGGCCAATTCAGTGAATTTGGCCTCATATTCAGCTACAGTCATGCTGTCTTGCTTGAGTTCCACGAACTCTGCCACTTTCCTATCCCGGACACACTGTGGGAAGTACTTGTCATAGAATATTTATAGAAACTTTACCCAGTCAACATCCTTATGATTTTCTCGCATCAACATCCACCATCTTCTTGCTTCATCTTCTAGCATAAAAGTGGCTAGAAGCACTTTCTGAGTCTCTGAACAGGGGAACACTTCAAATAATTTCTCAATGCCGAGGACCCACGCTTCGGCTTTCAACGGATCTAATCCCCCGTGAAACTGTGGTGGTTTCATTTTCTTGAATTCCTTGGTGAGAGCTATAATCCGGTCATCATTCTGATTATCTGGCACGGGTGGTGCCGGAGGTGGAGATGGGGGTGTGGTTGCTGCCACTGCTATTGCCACTCCTGTTGCTGTCTCAAAGCTTCTGTCATTTCCTGTATCAGTCTTTCCATTCTGTCAATTCTGGCAGTTGAGGATTCTTCTATTTCATCTCCTCTTGTTCTCACCATTTGATTAAACTTGCATTATATTTCATACAAAAGGTACACAAATATGCACACACTAAGAAACACATATTCCAAGATAATTTCCAATGCAAGTAGTTCACAACTTACACATATAATTGTTCATATCAAAACATTTAGGCATATAATCAATGCTTCCAAATTCATATTTATCACATGAATGCATCCTAGATCTTATCTAGACGTTTATTGCTCTTTTTGGACAAGTGTGTGAGTTATTAACTCGTGCTCTGATACCACTCTGTCATGACCCTACACATTTCATGAACATAAAGGGGGTCACTAACAGTTCAATCCGTTCTTTGATTCGCATATTCCTCTTTAGGTTTTATTCTTATCTCATTAACTCATTTACAATTCTTAACATATGCCTAAGAGTGCTTACAAGTGAAAGAGAATGGAAAACGAAACACAGAACGAGCATAAAAAATTTCAGAGAACGGGGTCCTCGCTCGAGCGTCAAATTCCCCGCTCGAGTGGACCCTTAGGGCCTGCAAAAGTACAGGTTGCATGAAAAATACGCTCGCGCATGGGATAGAGCGCTTGAGCGGAAGGCCTGTCTACAAAAACTCCCCGCTCGAGCGTGATATATACCGCTAGAGCGGACATCCAATTCTGCAAAAAGTGCTGGGAGCACGATTTTCCCGCTCGAGCGGACATAAAAAATCTGGGTTTTCCAGATTGAGTTCTTGAGCTCCAATTCAAATTTCAACCAACAAAACATGCATGTTATGGCTCAAATCTCAAATATAGTTATGCTAACATGCCATAAACACCAAAACACATTACAATGGAGCCCAATTCACAATTAATTCACATATATGCCCCAATCCCCCATCAACTCATTCTAATACAAACAAAATCATACTTTCAAAGCTCATATCTTAATTATTCAAACATGCATGCTAATCTTGATTTCATTTCCATCTCAAACAATGCAAATGGTGTTCATTCTCATGGAATACAACAAAAGCATACTTGCATGTAAGATTTAACACCTTTATTTCCATGTTTAACTCAATACATGCTAGATTATGCATTTCCACAACAATTATATACATGCATGCCTTCATTAACCTTCAATTGAACACAAGCAACTCAATTCCCTTACATTCAAACTAATTCATGCTCTTGACAATCTATTAAACTTGAATTCACAAGGTGATGACTATAAATGCATGAATCAATTACTAAGGAGCTTTAATCTCCTAAATTTAGCAATACTTGAGCTTAATCTCCAAAAGGTCCAAGTATTAATTAAAATTATGGTTTCAGTATTTTAATTTTTGAAGTGTTACAGAAATATTTTTCTATCTGGAATTAATTTGTTTAAATAAAATTTTATTTTCAAATTAATTGGAAATAAAAGTTACAATTTTTGTTTCGTTTATTTTTACAGAATTAAATTATGTGTTTATAGTTTAATTTTTTGTGTAGTATAAAAATTCTAATTCTAATTGTGTTTTATAATTTAGAATTCATGGCTACTGAAACTAGTAAGACTGATGTTCAAACCAATACTGGCGTGGTGACTACAACCCCTCCTTCAGTTGTGACTATGCCAGTCAATCACGATGAAAAGTCAGAGAAGTTCTTAGAAATTGATTTTAAAAGATGGCAGCAGAAAATGTTGTTCTATCTTACTACGCTGAACCTGGCTTGTTTTCTTCGTGAGAATGCTCCTACTCTAAATGAGGATGAAACTGACCGGCAAGTGGTTGCTGCAGTCGATGCCTAGAAACATGCTGATTTCCTTTGCCGAAACTACATCTTGAATGGACTTGATAACACATTGTACGTCTACAGCCCTACCAAGATAGCAAAGGAACTTTAGGAGTCCTTGGAGAAAAAATACAAAACAGAAGATGCTGGCTCAAAGAAATTCGTAGTAGGAAAATTTCTAAACTTTATGATGGTTGATTCCAAGAATATGATTAGCCAAGTTCAAGATCTCCAACTCATTCTGCATGACATTCATGCAGAAGACATGTCTCTGAGTGAATCATTCCAAGTTCCTGCCTTAATTGAAAAATTACCACAAGGCTAGAAGGAATTCAAGAACTACCTCACCAAGAGCAAAGAAATGACTTTGGAGGAATTGATTGTACATTTGAGGATTGAGGAGGGCAATCACAATTCTGAGAAGCGGGCTGGTAAGCATCCAATGGAGTCTAAAGCAAATGTGGTGGAACATGCTCCAAAAGCAAAGAAACGGAAGTATTCTAGAGAAAGTTCCGCACAAGGCTCTAAAGGAGGGGAAACTAAGAAGTACAAGTTTAATGGAAAATGTTACATTTGTGACAAAGAGGGACATTGGGCCAAAGATTGTCGTAACAACCGTAAAGGCAAAGAAAGATCAAGCAAGAAGCCTACTCAAGTCAATATGACCGAAGTGGACAAAATTTTCAATGGTGTTGAGGACATAAATCTTTCTGCAGTTGTTCCTGAGGCAAACCTTGTCGGAAATCCAAAGAATGGCGGATGGACACTAATGCTACTAGCCACATCTGTGCCGACAAAAAGATGTTCACATCTTATTCTATGATAGAAAATGGCGAACAACTTTTTATGGGCACCTCAACTTCTAAAGTTGAAGGATAAGGAAAGATTATTCTGAAGATGACATTTGGAAAGGAACTCACTCTCAACAATGTGTTGTATGTACCGAACATTCGCAAGAATCTAGTCTCTGGATCTCTGTTCACCACAAGGATTTACACATTTGGCGACCACTTTTGCCGACCAAAAAAATTTTGGTCGCAAAAAAATGACATTTGGCGACCAAATATTAATTAGTCGCGAATGATCATTATTTTTGGCGACCAAATATTATTGGTCGCAAAAGAATATATTTTGGCGACCAAAAAATAAGTTCGTCGCAGAAAATGGTATGCTTTTGCCGACCAACTATAAATTTGGTCGCGAAAGGTCACATTTTTTTTGGCGACCAAAATTTTGGTCGCCAAAAACTTATTTTCAGCAACAAAAAAAAATTAGTCGCCAAATTAACACTTTTAGCGACTAATATTTTAGTCGCAGTTGATTGAGATTTGGCAACTAAAAAAATTTGTCGGCAAAGGATACATTTTTTGCGACTAATCTGGTATTTTGGTCGCCAAAAATTTGGGAGGAAATTTTGAAACGTGGGGCGGGAATTGAAATTTTTTATCTTTAGAATCTGTTAGCTAACACTTTCTCATTTTCTCCTCTTTCATCTCCCAAACCTTACCCTACATGACCTCACCTCCCCCTTTCTCTTCTCTCACGCCTCACGCCTCACGCCTCTGTGTCTCTTCTCTCTCACGCCTCACGCTGCCCTCCTCTCTGTTACTGGACTCCTCAATTAGTCACACATATTGGACTCCTCAATCACCACCGCCGTCTACGGCGCCGATTCTTTCCCTTCTTCTTTTAGCAAGTTCAATTCGGCTCTCACTGCTAGACTATTGAATCCCATGTCTTCACCACTACCTCCCTCCGACAAGGCCCGATCGAGCCCGACCCTTTTCGAAATGATGGCGAGCGAGCCCGATTCCATTCCCAGATCCCAACAGCGATTGTCGGAGATTTTGGGTTCTCGGAGTCCGGGAAGTCAGTTCAATGACCCCAATTCGAGCGAGCGATGTCACCAGAGTACTTGGATTGAAGGTACTAATAATCATTTGCACATTGTAGAGGAAACTATGAAGTTTTGTTGAATTTTTAGATTTATATGTTTGTGCCTATTTGTATGTGTATATGAAATGATGGGTTCATTGGCATATTGTTCTGGTGGGGTTTTATAGGAATTTGAATTATGTTTGATAGTCTTGTAATTTAGGTTTTACCTGCAATTGGGTTTGATATGCATGTGTTTATAATATGATAAATTAATTGGCATTTTGTTCTGGGTTGTTAGGAATTTGAATTGTGTTTCATGTTATTGTAATTTAGGTTTCAGCTGCAATTGGGTTTGATGCTGGGGTTTTGTCATGTTTGGAGTATGTAGAGGATGCTCCATGGGCTGAAGATGAAGAAGAGAAGGTGGCTTCAGTATGTAGCTAATGAGTATGTAGCTAATGAGAGCTTGGACAAGCTTCTCTTCAGTAAGTCCTCATCTGCTTTTATTTTATTTTTTTTAGGGAATAAACATTTAATTCTTATTTATGTAGAGTTGAAATTGAGACACCAAAATTGAATTATGGTTGTTATAGTAGCAATTAGTGACGAGTTTATTGAATTTTAGCTGTCATGGTTAGCTGCTAATTGAATAAACAGGTACTGTGTAGATGTATTGAAATTTAAGATATTGAATATGGTATGTTTCATCTTTTTAAATGGAAGTTCTTCATTAAATTGTTGATGGTGTCATAGTACCACTCAATGTTGCACTTTGCTAGACCTAGGGTGGTCTCAACTGCCTCATTCATATTCTCTGCATCTTGAAAAGAATCAAATCAGCTACTATGAGTATTTTCAAGAATCAAATCATCTTGAAGGAGTAGCCAATCGTTTCTTCCCTTACATTTGTGTTTTTTACTCAACTTTTTCCCCTAAAATGTTTTCCGCGAATATTTTATTGTATGGCTAAGGATGGTCTCTTCCAAATTTAATTATTTTCTCACTTTATGGGTGGAGGTCTTGCCCTCCCCAAACCCTGTTTTATATGATTGCCACATCACGGGGTGCAATTAATGATCCTAAGTTATAATTGCAGGTTTTGAGGTATGTAGAAGGTTTATGCTGGGTTTGCTGGTTCTACTACCATGGTGTCTACTCATGGCAATGGTCAGTTTTTGATTTAGTAGTAGTACGTATGTCAATAATGAGTTTTTGTAAAGACATTATGGCCAAAGAAGCGGTTGTACACCCATATTATGCAATATGCATTGCGTGGATTGGATGAGAAAACAGAGGATTTTGGCTCTGTGTCTAAATGGAAGTCAAGCAAAGCATCCTACAAATGTGCACTTTTATAGGATCTTATTTTCAAGATAACATTGGACCAGGTAAATATGAGCAAATGCTTAATCTCCATCCCACCACACAGATGATATATACACATGTTTAATTAAGGAGGCTTATGCCTATTTATCAACAAAAAAAATCAAAAAATTAAGGATGCTTATGCTTGGTACTGTTTTATGTTGTGTAGATTGCTGCCTTTCAGTGTACTTGCATTTAAACTAAATGTCCTGTTTTTGCTTCAAGTTTTATCCATATCATTATGCTAAATGTCCTTTCGACTAGCTAATGGGAACCTTGCCTGCTGCAAGGTCTGTATTACTTTCTCACTCTGTCTCTCTCTCTCTCTGCTGCTGCATTCAGTACTGTATGAGCTTATCAATTTCATGTTACAGTTCTAGTGCTCTGCCTGAAGAGTACAGGAGATTGATGACTGATCCAGCATCACCGATCCAAGAATTCTACCCTTTTGGTTGTATTACTTGAGTTTCATAGTTTTCTATTATTTCTTTTTGAACCTTTTTTTTTTTTCCGACACATGAATTTATAGCACACTATCTAAATTGTTAGTTAACTTATATTTATTATATAAATACCAGCCACAAACACTCAATGTGTTAGTTGGAAGCTTGTCATTGTGATGCTCTAAATTATCAGAGCCTCAAATTATTTTGGCATCATCTGACAAATGTTGGCGTATGATATAGGGCTTACTTTAGACCTATGTTGCTGTTAGATAGTTTAGGGTGGTGGTTTTAGCTATATATTTATATGTGTGGTGTTTAGTGGGTTTGACAGTTTGAGCCATTCATCTTGTATTGCATGCACCAAGGCTCGGCGCATCATTCAAACTGCATCATCATTTCAATATCTTATTTGAATACGTGTTTAATCGCGTGTTTTTCGAATTGCTTCACATGCCATATTAGTAGCCGAGCCTATTGATTGCATATTGCATGTGCTGCATTAGGCTTCTTGTATAGTTAGGAATCATACATTATTTTCTAACTCATATCTTCTTAGCTTGGAGTACTAGGTGAGTTTTAGTGCTTTAGCATACTTGCATGAGTGTGAATGTTGCCATGTTTAGCATGCTTACCATGAGGCTATATGCTTAAATGCTAAACTGCATGAATGCCTATGGATGAAGGCTTGTTGTTTGAATTGGAATGATTCAACGATTGTGCGTTTTAAGCCCATTTTGTTGAGTGGCAAATCATCTTGTTTTAAGCCCACTATGTTTGGTGGCAAATCTGCAAACTTTAAGCCCACTTGAGGGTGTCAAATTCAAACCCTTTTTGCAAACAACATGAGTTGAATTGTTCCAAATTGAGCAACTAATCTATACTTTCTTGTGCGCATCACATAGTAATGCTAGTTTAATAATCGGAATAAGAATACATAATGTTTATAAAATATCATATCATGATTAGTAAAGGCCGATCTTTGATCGGGCGAGCGGGGGTGCTCAATTCATGACCTTTCCCTGTTGTACCTAAGTTCCCGAGCGGAGGCAACTTTGGTGATGACAGACACGTGGCCTTTGGCACAAGTCAGGATTACCTAAATTTCCCCCAAAATAAAAAAATATTTAGGTGGCGACTCTATATCTGGCAAAGTAGTCCAATTTTTGCATTATTTGATTTAAAATCGATTTTTCAAAAAAATTTGCCAAATTTGGACTCTTTGGTATTTATCAGTTTCACATTGCACTTGTGAGATTAGATTCAGAACCGCAGCAGTCCAAACTGTAGGGCTTTCTTTTCGAGCTTCTGAAAGGGGGCGCGAAAAAAACGAGCTACACATGAGAAATTTGACAAGGCAATGATGTCAAATGGATTCAAAATTAATGAATGTGACAAATGTGTTTATATTAAAAACACAAACAAAGGCTATGTTATAGTATGTCTTTATGTGGATGATATGCTCATCATAGGTAGTAATAATGACATAATTAAAACTACCAAGAAAATGTTGAATAAACATTTTGACATGAAGGACATGGGGATTGTTGATGTAATACTTGGTATGAAAATTATCAAAACATCAAAAGGTTATGCTTTGCCACAATCACATTACATTGGGAAAATACTTGACAAATTTAGCAAAGATGATGATCATCTTGCTAGAACACTTGTAGATGTTAATTTGTTTCTTTCTAAGAATGTACAAGAAAGTATTTGTCAATTAGAGTATGCCCAAATTATTGGAAGCTTAATGTACTTGATGAATTGCACTCGCCCAGATATAGCCTATGCAGTAAGTAAATTAAGTAGATATACGAATAATCCGGGAGTAGAATACTGGAAAGCTATTATAAGGGTTCTAAGATACCTTAGATTTACTCGTAACATTAGGCTAAATTATACTAGATATCCAACAGTACTTGAAAGATATAGTGATACAAATTGGATATCGGATACTAGAGACTCAAAATCCACCAGTAGATATGTCTTTACTCTTGGTAGTGCAGCTGTATCTTGGAAATCTTCCAAACAGACTTGCATTGCTAGGTCTACTATGGAATCAGAATTCATAGCTTTTGAGTCTCTAGTATAACGGTAGAGCACAGAGTCATATGTATAACGGTAAGTCACGACACATTCGTCGTCGACATAACATTGTGAGACAACTACTCTCATGGAATTATTTCCATTGAATATGTGAAGTCTAAAGACAACATAGCAGATCCACTAACCAAAGGGTTAGCAAGAGAGTCAGTTGAAAATTCATAGAGAGGAATGAGACTTAAGCCTATTAAATAAGAGTTACCACAATGGCAACCGAACCTAGTTGACTAAAGATCCCAAGATCTAGGTTCAAAGGGATAACCGAGTTGTGTATGACGACTCATAAGGATCAATGGGGAGTCAAACTCCTTCCCATTTCCATGATAAAATAGTGATGTCTGCAACGTTTTAGGTTAAGTAATACTTTTAATGACTCTTATATCTACGAATACCTAGTGGAGTATGGCAAGATACTCTTCATAAGAATCACCTATGTGAGTATGAACTGGGCCTCTATGAGATTTCTGAAGGGCTATAATTCTCTAGAGCACTCATGAAAGACTAGGTTGTTCAGGGTCAAAATGAACACAATAATGAGAATTAAACTGTGTTTGGTAATATACTGTGTGAGTTCTATTGTCTTGGTTTACACAAATAATTGAACAATTCAAAACACCATGTTCACTAGTTAGCTAGTAAATCCGATAGTGTTTCATAAGGGAAGGTTCAAAGCCAAAAGCTACCTATACTTTGCAGAATATTTCTTATTTTTGTACTCTCTGTAATAAGATCATGTTGTTGCATTTTCTCTCCGTCAAATTCCATTCATGTGGGGGATTGTTGGAATTATGGTTTTATAGGCCTATTTGGGGTCAACTTTGAGCCCAAATTTGACTGGGGCACACACGTCTTTTGAGGTGGATCCAAAGAAGTGACATGTTCCTTCTTGCATAGCAAGTTACACGGTGAAGACGGTTCGTCAAAACCATATATGAGTGAATGGGAAGTTGACGTCGTTTTCAAGTTCGTAGAATGGACTAAAGAAGTAAAATGTAGGTTTCCTTGAAATGGTTGTCCCACATTGAAACTTAAAGAGAACTTATGTGTGTATATAAGTTCTAAGTGGGAATACTTAGGATGGGCCCCAAAGGGCACCCCAAGTTTGTAGAAGGGAGGAGTTATGGACAAAGTGAGCTTTGGCTCAAACCACGACACGCGCGCGAGCCGCCACCACCGTTTGGCCGGTTGGGCTGGGTTCGGGTGCGAGGTGCAAGGTGCGAGTTGTGGGTTGGGTTCTAACATTAATTTTTTGGACAAAATTTTTTCTAAAAATTCTTGCAGGAAAATTATTTTTTTCTGAATGAAATTAATTCAAATTTTGCATCAAATTTGAATTCAATTTTCTGTCCAAAACAGTGCCTTTTGGGTCCAGGTTCAAACAGTCCAGCGGACAGATTCAAAAAGTGCATCAAACAAGTTCAATTTCAAACCATACATGTTCAGTTTGAACCATACCTATTTATTTAAAAAAATAGATTTGTTTATTCAATTTCATACATATTCGGACAGATTTGAATAGTCACCAATCTGTCTATAAGAGCAAACCTTTTCTAGCATTTCTAACATCCAAAAAATTTATCTTGCTTCCCGTTTTTGTTAACATCCATAAATCATATTCTATTCCCTTTTTTGCTTTCTTTTTGCATTATTCTTTGTACTAATTTTTAGAGAAAATTCTGAGAGCATAGAACGCAAGTTCTAGTTCGCCATACAAATTGTTTGAAGTGCAACTACAATCTGTGTAAGGATCATTATATCCTGGGAGATAGATGCCATTTATCCGTAAGCACCGAAGCAAGGTGAATCTATCTTAAGAAGAAAGTGTCACACACTCGACTTGATCAATTTTGTACTTATTCATCTCGGTAAATAAATTCTATAAGTAATTTATTTTTATTTGTTTGATTTGATTTCAAGTTATTTATTTTACACTGAAGATTGTTCCAACACACTTGGTTTAGAATGATCTAAATAAGTGCACTTTTGACTTTTTACGAAAAAATATGTAAAAAAATAGAGAGGTTATGTGATTTAAAATAAATAAATAAATAAAAAGTGTGTACTTATTAGTTGATGCCAAACCATCAATGACATTTTTATTTAATATTGAAGTTGTTTGTCGTTTGAAGTTTAAGATATGATGGGATGGGAATGCTTTCAGAAGGAAATAAATGATTGTGGTTGTGGCATTGCCTTAATATCAGGGTGCTCTATTTTACTCTGCTCAGAGTGGCATTTCTACTATAGCTTTTCATTTGAAGTTACTGTCTTGGTGTGTTTATTTGTTTGGTTAGCGTTAATGTGGCATTGTTCTATAATAAGGGTACTCTGTTTGTACTTATTGTTGCATTGTGGTGTATTGTTTTGTTTGCATCTTGCTAACTGAGAGTTTATCTTGATAGGAGATTAGGAGAAAGGTGTATTCTTGGTGTTTTTCTGGAGATTGAGTTGGTGTTTTTCTGGAGATTGAGTTGATGTATCAGTGACATGTTCACTTATAATGTTTATTAATAAAATTTTGATTTTGTTGACAAAATAAAAATGAAAATGAAAAAACACACCCTAACAATTTTTTCCTTGAGGGTATTTTTTTATCACTCCACAAATATTTTATTTTTTTATTTCACTAAATTTTACAAATTTTTGCTAGAGGGTATTTTTGATCACTCGTATA